GCCCGGAGAGATGGCTCAGGGTCAGGGAGATGGCTCAGTGGAATAAGTACTTCCCTGGCAAGCGCAAGGGCCTGAGTTCAATTCCTGGTTCCACCAAAAAAAAAAAAAAAAAAAAAAAAAAAAAAGTTACGCCCTCAACAACACATTTCCTTCAAATCTTTTACAGTTAGACATATTGTTATTTGACCCTCACAACTTTTTTTTTTCCAAAAGGGAAGTCCACTTGGGTCAGTTGCCACATAACCCAGCAAAGATGGAGCCACAGCAGAAGCAGCACGCTCTGTGTAAGAACACTCAACGCCCTGCACCTAGGCTTAGCTGTGTAGTCGTGGGCACAGCGCCGACTTCTCTGTGCATGTCGTTTTGTTTCATTTGTAAAAGAAGGCTAATGTTGTTAATCCTTAGAGCTGTTATGAGTATTTAAAACAGTGTTGTGACATGCTTAGAGTATCGTCTGGAGAAGAGTAGCTGTTGCAAATAAGGCAACACATTCCTTTATTGTAGTTTTAACAAAACTCACATATTTAGAAATTAGATAAGGGAATGAGCAATCCTTAACATGTTTGTAAACAGGAAAAAATACAACCATGACATAAAATGTAAAAATGTTCGCTTTTGTCAGTCATGTACAGCAATAAAGTGCATTAATATCTACTCTAATTGCCTTTTGATTGTAGGATATAACTATTTGGCTCTCGTACCTATGATATAATTTTGTAATCAATGATCCTGTTTCAGATAATAAACAGATTGTATTCTGAATGGCTGAGTAATTTCTGATACAAAGTCTAACTACCTAACAACTTCTAATCTCACGGTATCAAATTGATATAAAGAGAAGTAACAATTAAGAGAATACATGGGTACAAAATTAGCTTGCTTTGTTAAGGTTATTATTCAGTTCTTCGGAAGAAAGCCAATAAAATATATTGTGCTACATACAGCACCAAAGTCAGGAATTAAACCTGTGCTTTAAGAAATCTGATGGCTCTTTATCATCCCAAGACATTTTAGCAAATAGATGAGAACAGCTGATTCTAACATCAATTTATGTAAAAATTTAAAATATAGCATGTTGTTTTCAGGAAACAAAATCATCATATGGTAGCTTTCTAGTTATGACTTATAATTTCTCTGAACTACACTTCAGTACACAATTCCATGTAGGACTGAATAGCTGTTGGTTAAATGTTTGGGTTTTTTTAAATCATTTTCAAGAATGTTTTTCTGCTACAGGTGTCTTCCTGGAGAAGGTCCAGTGGATCTTGGTTTTGTGCATTACTAACACAGATTGAATAGTATTTTGGTAAAGTGCATCCCTTATTCTTTCCTATTTCATAATTTTAATTCATTGAACTTTTAGTAAGAACTTAACTGCCACATTATGTGTGTGAGGTATAGTGAAAAATATAAAAAAAAAAGTTAATTACTCTTCTCCAATTTGATGTAGTTGGGGCAATTAATAAATTATGCATACTTATGTTCAAGATAGATGTTGAAATTTTTGTGTTACTTAAGCTAAATGAGATTACCCAGTCCTTTATACTGTAAGTTGTTAACTTGTAAGTTTATATTCTAAGACGATAGCTTATATTACAGATCTTCAGTTAATTACTTTTAGTGTATTAACATTGCATTTTGTTACCTTACTAAATTATAGTTTCATGCTTAGAGAACATTAATATTTATATAGAAACCTTAAAAAATTAACTTATTTCCTTTTCAAATGATGAGTTTTATGTTTCTTTCAACAAAAAGAAAATAGTGAAGAAATGACTTCAAAATATTTTAATTTTGCCTACTTAAGTCCTTTACTCTTTTAATAAATTTTAAAAAATTAATTTACAGGTGAAATTATCTATCTAGATATAAATAGACTTATTGGGGGTAAAGTGTAATATTTTGTTACACATATACATTACAGATTAAATCAAGATCAATATATCTGTCACCTCACCTTTATATCAGTTTTTGGTTTTGATGGTAAGAATATTTAACCACTTACCTTTAGTAATTTTGAAGTACATTATTACTAAGATCTCTGTGATGTATAATTGATCAATAAAACTTACTCCTTCTGTCTAATTGAAACTTTAATCTGTTGTCAAGTCTTGCAATGTTAATTTACTTATGTATATATTTGAATACAAGGTGACAGTTCTCTTACTTTATTTATTGTCCTAATTGTGTTAAAACAGAGTGTGAATCTGAGTGCAAATTAAGTAGATAGTGAAAAATTTAAATTGATTCAAATATTTGTATAAGGATCTTACATTTGGGATGCTTTATTTTTGTAGCAAACAAAGCTTCAAAGTGACTTAATAATCTTCACAATCATGTTTAAATTATTATGGCAATATTTTTACTCTCTATGGGTAACATATTCTCAAATAAGTGGATTCTTTTGAAGTTATTTGATTATATTTTGCATTCACTCCAAAAGGCTGGTCAATTTTAGTTCTGGTATCTCTCTGAATTTGAGGAATGCTTTCATATTCAGACTTTAAAAACAACAGGTAGATAAAAAGTAATAAATACAATGTCCATCCGCTCAACTGTCTTCAATAAAAGTGATGTAATTTCAAAAGCAATAGATTACTACATTTATCCTCCTGTTAAACTCATGTAAATCTAGGAAAATATATTATGCTGATGTTATAATAAATGGATTCATTTAATACTATTGATTTGCAACTTGAAGTATTTTTTCTACATTAAAGTTCAGGTCTGGGTCGTTAGTTTTGCATTCTTCTGTGAATTAATATTAGAATAATGTGATTAGTCCCTAAAATTTGAAATGTTGCAGTTGATAATAATGGAACAAAATCTAAATTATATTAACTTTGAAATTAACCATAGGTTTATTTGCACGCACTAGTTTATTTGCTATATCTTCTTTTAAAGGAAAATACAGTTTTCTTCCTACCACAGAAGCATCATATTCCTGCACACCCATGACACTTGGAAGCATTCAGTGGTCAGAGATCACTACATCTCCTTCAAATGATGTGGGTCGGGGACACTGGAAGGTGTCTTCCCAGAGCTGGGCAACCTGGTATCACAGTCACCCACCAGGACAGGCCCAGGCTGGTGCTCTGAGTCCAGAGGGACGTAGAAAGCTGATTTTGCATTTTGAAAGTCTACTCTGCTAACACTGAATCCTGGGACACACTTACAGATAAAAGTGAACTGAGGGCCCCAGAAATTACTTATTGCTTTATATATTTATAAAGCCCATCTGCCCAAATTACTCTTAGAAGAAGTCAAATCCTAATTTTATTATCCCCCTGGGTTTCCGAATTTATATAAAATGCATATTTTTTTTAGCAATACAAAGGTAAGTTTGTTCAGGATCATAACTGTGTAGTCTGAATCTTTGTACGGTACATTTATGGTAGACCATAAGATAGGTGCTAAATCCAGTATACTTGAAGGTGCTTTAAAAGTGATAAAAATTAAAACAACAATGTTAACCACGAATGGCCACTGGTGGGTAATAATTGCTACCACACTGAGCTTGTCATTTTCATCTGGACACATTGAGAAACTTAAAAAATGAATAAACATTTTACGCCTTGTTCTCAACTTGGACTCCAGTGCTCAAGGTTCAAGTACAAGTGGGTCTGGGATCCTGGATCTTGATATGTCTTGTTACCTCCTGACACCACAAGACACTCTTCCCTCTCATAAATACCAGAAAAATCAACTTGTGAGATTCCTTATACTTTCTGCTGGCCTCAACCTCACAGGAGCGGTGTCTCAGCCGCTGTGGATAGTATCTTCCCTTCTTCAAGACTTAAGTTACTGACCGAGGTCTGGTAGAGACGTAATGAAAAAATCCTGTGACTTTTTCACTGAATTCCATAAGGCTGCACAAAGTAGATTTAGGCACCAGCCTGCATGAGAATAAGCCATGACAAATTTTAAAACATCCACTTCCCTAATGTACCACTTTGGTGGTTTAGGCTGCAGTAGCCTAGCATCTGGAATCCTGATGCTTTAGCATGAGAAACTGAGAAGATACTGTTTCTCTTTTCTGAAAAGAGAAAGAAACATTTCTCTAGGGCTCATTAAAAAGGATTTAAAAACTGGAACCAATAAAACAGGACTGTCAATTCCTATAGTCTTTTCATCTCAGCAGCATTTTAAAGAGGTATCATTTTTTTCTCCCTTTTGACATGAAATCCCATTTGCAACACATACATAGAAACATTCTAAATAGCAACACCAGCATCAACAGCTCTCTCACTCCCTTGTGACTGGGAGGCCAGCTCCCAAAGGATCAGGAGGTGCCTCCCACTCCAGCTTTCAACTGCACTCACCTTTGAGATGGAAGTGCATGGAAAGGTTCACCCCACCACCCAGAAACCTTTTCCTCTGCTCTCACTCGCAAATTGAAAAGGCACAGAGGAAAAGTTTAGGAGGCCCCAGTATGTGATCATTTCCAACTGAGATCTTGACTTTCAACCTACAAAGGGAGTCAGCCTCAACCACAAGAAAAAGCAAAACAAACAACAACCCAAGTTGAATGTGTGCTGGACTAGCTCTCTTCTGCCAGCATGCTCTGGACACTTCTGCTGGCCCAAGACAGGAAACAGGAAGGGCAGGGTCTCATTACAGAAACCTTTTCCTTATTAAACAAGTTCACCTTGAGATTTGGAAGGAGGGCGAGGTCAGAGAGGCTCCCAAAGCTGCACTTCTCAGGCCTCTGGCCTTTGGCCCCACTTGCCTGTCAATTACCATCTGAGTCTACAATTCCAGGCATGTGGATAAACTGGGCTTCTTTGAGCTTAGGGATGCTGCTAGGCCGGTTTCCCACTGACCTTTCAGGGACTCTGAGATCAACTTTTCTCTACGTCCTCTGAATTGTTCTGTTTGTTTTCAGCCTGTAGGAGCCTCCTGCCCAGCCCAACCTTCTCCCGCTCCTCCCTGCGTCCTCCCCTCCCTCCGGCCTCTGGTCTCCCCCCACCCCACCCGCCCTCCTCTTTGTTGTCTCCTACCTGCTGGCCAGGCTCTGCCTGCAGTGCTGCCTGAAGGGCATCAGGTGGTAGTTCATGGCGTCCAGCAGCAGCTTCTGGCAAACTGGGTCGGTGCGCATGAAATCCACGGACTGGACCCGCTCCACAAGCTCTGGGGCCGGGATGAGCGCGAAGCGGAGACGCTTCATAAGGTCGGGCGCGTACTGCATGCGGGTCTCGCGGTCGTGCTCCAGCCACAGCACGGACATCTGGAAGAGCGCCAGTTCCGACTCCACGGGGGGCGGCAGCGAGTCCAGCAGGGCGCGCATCTCCTCGAAGTTGAGGAGCAGCACATCCTCCACCAGGTACTTGTTGGCCAGCTTCTTGGTCTCCTCCAGGCCGTGCAGAGCGGCTATCTTACACACCTGCTTGTAGTTCTGCACCGAGATCTGGTCGTTGAGGAACTGCACGCAGAGCTTGGTGACCTGGGGGATGTGCAGGATCTTGCTGACCGACAGCACCTCCTCCACCGTATCCAGGGAGAGGGTCACGTTGGCCGTGTAGAGGTACTCGAGCACCAGGCGCAGCCCGATGGACGAGCAGCCCTGCAGCACCAGGTTGTTGATGGCCCGGGGACTGGTCAGCAGCTTGTCGTCGGGGGAGGAGGAAGGAGTCCCGGGCTCCTCCTGCTGCTGCTGTGGTGGCTGCTGGGTCGACTGCGGCTGCGATGTGGGCTGCTGCTGGTCCTTGGGGGCCCCCAGGCCGTCCTGGCCGCCAACCCCTCCCCCGAGAGGGGGGTGACTGGAGAAGAGCGATCGGAAGTACTGCGAGCAGGAGGCCAGCACGGCCTTGTGGCAGTGGAACTGCTGGCCCTGAGCCGTCAGGGTCACGTCGCAAAACAGCTGCTTCCGCCACAGCAGGTTGAGGCCGTGCAGCAGGTTGTCGCTGTGGCTGGGGTCGAAGGTGGAGGTCCTGTCCCCGGATCTGGACATGGCGAGCAGGCTCGGCGCACCTGGCTTTAAACCCTCCTCCAACCTGGCAGATGGGTGGGGGATGGGAGGGGAGCAGGGTGGTGAGGGTGGGGTGTGGTCGGTGCAGTCGGATGGGGAAGGGTGCGAAGGGGAGGGGAGGGCGAAGAACAACAATCAAGGCTCAGCTCGGCCCCCACCGGCGTTCTGGGGACCCCGACCCTAGCGGATCCGCAGTCCGGGTCCGGGCTCCGTTCTGCTCCCTGCTCCCTCCTACACCCGGGTCTCTCACTTTCCTAAAACCGCCCGGGCTCGGCTCTCTGCAGCGACGACGGCAAAGTGGCGGCGGAGGCCGAGACACCCCGAGAGCTCCTGTCCATGCTGGGCCAGAGGAAGGGAAAGGCCGGGAGCCGGGCAGTCGGGACGCCCAGAGAGCGCAGAGGCGACCGTCGGCGCGGTTCCGGCTCCACTCTTTGCAGTCAGCTGTGCGTTTTGTAGTTGGCCCAGTTTTTTTTTTTCTTTTGGGGGGTTAAGGGGTGCTGGTAGGAAAGGGGCAAGACAGGCGCGAGGGTGGGGGGCTTCTGCGCTCCCCCAACTCGGGAACCCCTTCGATTATCCGCGCTGCCCCAAGAAACTCCTAGGCTAGTAGCATGAGGTTAGAGATAAAGCCCTTTCTTCTCCCGAAAGTGCAGCGGAGCGCGGTGAGGACAGCTCAGTGGACTCGCGGAGGCGGGAGCTGTCCTTATCAATTCTAGCTCATTTCCCTCGCCCCGGCTGCCCGCTTCCCCGCTTCGCGAACTCCAGGCTTCCCGGTCTCCACTCAGTGTTGCTAATTTTCCGGAAGCGCCTTTAAACCTGGCAGGAAAACACTTCCACCCCCGCCCTACCCCCGAGTCCCTGTCCACCCGCGTCCGCGGCACCCGGAGCTCAAGTTCGGACCCCGTCTCCCCTTGGGCGTTGGGTGGCGGCAGGGCTACGCGGCCGGGGGCCGAGCCAGAGCCGCGGGCCCGGAGGACTTGGCGTGCCCGGCCCTGCCTCCTGGGCGGCGGGCGCCGTCGCTCGAACTCCGGCAACTGCGAGAAGTTCAAGTTGGAAGGCAGAGCTGGGGGAGGGGCGGGTGCCCGACGGGCCGAGCTGGGGCAGTGCCGGGTGGCCTCTGCGTCTCACCACCCTGCGGGCAGGGGGCAGGAGCAGCTTTTTTCCGAGCCCGGGGGTCCAGCTCCCCAGAGTCCCCTACGCTCTGGCACCCCCACTCCCGGGCCTTGGAACTACTTCTTCGAAGTCTGAGCAGCCCGCATCTAAGAGGAGGAAGAGGGCAGGGTGGAGGAAGCGAGGCGGGATTCCCCCCCGCCAAGTCCTTAACCTGCGATTGCACCTTGCAGGACAGAGCGGGAGGGACCCTGCCGGCGACCCGCGGCCCGTCCGGGAGAGCCCCAGCCGCCTGGCCCAAGGAGCCCGCGGACCGGCCCCTGCCTTCCTCCCTCTGCGGCTCACTCTGCCCTGCCCGCCGCCGGTCCTGGATCGCCGGCTTCCCATTACCGCCGGAACCGGCTCCTCTCCACTCACTTTACCATCCCGTGCCAGGTGGACGCAGCCTCGCTCGCTCTCCCTCCCTCGGCGGCACCCCCACCTTGCCCCCCAAGCTCGTGCCGCCGGAAACATCTCAGAGTCTGCGTGGAAGTGGCCCTGGTCTTACCTCTCTCGCGCTCTCCCCGCTTCGTTGTCTCAGCACCCCCCCCCAGTCTTTTCCAATTCTCCTTCCTTCTCGTTCTCCTCCTTTGCCTCCCCCCCCCCTTATTTCTTGCAATGGGAGTTTTATTCTTTAGAAGCCGTTGCCACAGAACTGCCCCCCCACCCCTTTCAAAGACTCCCTCCCCCCTCCAACAGCCCAAAAGACAACAGAAATACACACAAGGCAGACACAAGGCCAGAAACTTACCTGCTGTCAACCAGCTGCAAAGTCAAGGCTCACTTAAGCTCCCCCCAAAAAATCAATTGTCCTTCCTTTTAAAAGGTTTGCTCTCTCCTTGGGGGGGGGGGGACCACCTTCTGGTTCCCAACTCCAGGCAGTCACTCTTTACAATTTATTTTGTCGTACATCATTTGATCACCATGAATTAGCAACAGCAAGAAATGTAGGAGAGGGAGAAAAGAGAAAGAGGGAGAGAGAGGAGAGAGAGAGAGGAGAGAAGGGGAGAGAGAGAGAGAGAGAGCAGAGCTTTCTGCAAGAGAAGAAGAAGAAAAAATGTACGTGTGACAAATTATGCTACCAAGAAACAACACATCATTATCCTTGGGCCTGGGGCTCAGTGAGTCGTAACGAGAGTAATAGGAAATCCACGGTTGGGGAGAGAAACGGTCGTGCTTGGCCAGTAGAGAGAGACCATACAGGGGGATGGATGCTGGAGAGACTCGCAAAATTATGGCTCAAGGCTATTGTAAAAATTGTCGAGCGTAAATGACTGCGATTTCAAACATCTTTGGAAGAAAGAAGGGGAAAAAGCGAGCCCCCCTCCCTCCCGCTCCCTCTCTCTCCCTCTCTCTTCTCTTCTCTCTATAAAGAACCGTCAAGTTTTAGTGCGCATTGCTAATTAGTCAATTTCTCTCTGCCTTCACAGGCTGGCGACTTCGCTGCTGAGCTGAAACTGCTAATTTCTGTGACCAGCTTTTTTCTTAGCTGTGATCTGGATGAATGAGTAGCTGTCTCACAGAGATGACAAAAATAAACTCTAATCCCCCCAAAAATTTCCACTACATCTTTCTCATGCATAGATTTATGATCTTCAAGCGCTCTGTGCAATATGCAAACTTTTTTTGTGTCTGTATATAAGCTGTTGTTTCCAGATTTCACTACATTGGTATGCTGCCTTTCCCTCCCACCCCCACCTCCCCCCACACCCTAGGAAATGCAGAAACTGTCTGATCTCAGAATGTGCTAAGATGTCACTATCCTGCCTTGGTATTTGGGGTTTGGGGCTACCTTGGAAGACACTGGCCCTTGCTAGGAGGTGAGTGGCTAAGTGTACAAACCAGGGGTGGGGAAGGTAGTTGTGGTAGTCAGGAGCAAGGAGGGCAGTCCAGGGTTTTACTTTTGCCTTCCCTGCACTATTCAAGCTTCATGGTCTTGTTTAGAAACATGTTTTCCCTATCCTTTTGCCTCATTTAAAAAGAATCACCTTTGAAGTTCTCTTTCAGCTCTTCAACAGAGAAGAATTCAGCAGTCACATTTTTTGAAGTTGAAAGATTATCTTATTGTCAGATTTGTGTTTCAGTTACCAGTCTTAGATTTCCAGGAGCTGGAATCAAGTGCCAGGAAACCCTGCTGCCATGACACAAACGTAACCTTTCACCTTTGGAGTTCTCCTGAAATATAGGGTGATTCACATAGTGCTCACACTTTTGACTCTGCTTAGCATGTGAAATGACCCTCAGTGTGTTTCTGGGATTTCAGCTGTACCAAAGATTCATGCACATGTAGGTAGAGGACGTGTGCTCCAGACTTAGCTCATGATGTATTACAGCCTTACATTTATAGCCTTGCATTTCAGTGGTCAATGGGGGTTGGAGGTGTCCAAGAAAGGGAAAACAGAAAGCAGGAAAAGAAAGGTACGTCCTTGAATAAAACCAATGTGGAAGAAAGCTGGGCAGGAGTTCAACTGAGTTTTGTTTGCTGTTAAATGTATGACTATGATTCATTCTAATTTACATGTGCTTTGATTAGTGAGCTTAATAAAATACATGTCAGGTTACCCTCAAAGGCTGTCTTTTTACTTTCTCCTTTGATTTGTGAGAGATCGAAAGACACCTGCTTGGGGTGGAGAGGCTGGAAATGCTGAGCTTCAGAAACGGGATTTTCCCATCTACAATGATAAATATTATCATTTGGAATACTTATTCTGAAGTAAGCAAAGAAGGATCAAGTGGAAGCACACCCCTCACAAGGGCCTTTTCTGTCAAGGTTCTAAGGGGTTACCAGAGAGTAACAGTTCCTTCTTCAGAGGCTGTTGATGTGCATATTTATGTTTATTACAGAAAAGCCCCAATACACAGAAAACAGTTTTCTGTGTTTCCATTTAGAGCGGGAGGAATAAAGAATAGGTCATCCAGATCTTCTGGTCCTACTATCTGCTTTTCTTTATACTTTTGTGTTTTGAATTGCCTTGCAGGGTCTTGAAGAGCAAGACTATGGTTAAAAGGTAATGTTTTTTGGGGATTCTGGATCATTAGCAAGTACAGCTATCTGGTAACAATCTGGAGTGTCACCAAATTCTCATACATACCAAGTGCTACTTTTACATGATGCTTTTCGTGTTGATATTTTAAGAACTTCCTACGAAAGATTTGGAACTAAATTCAATGGTTACTACTGCGGTACTGGCCCCTTAGGCTGCTGTCATCTTTCCATTTTATCACAGAAGAGTTAAACTATATTTTTGTAGGCCTCAAAATACCTTAGTTTTAATTCCTTCTTTTAGCTGTAGATAGAATGTGCTTGCCACTAATTACTCAATTACTAGACTATGGCTTCTCACGAATATAAAAGGTACATTTCCAAAACTTTACTCACCGTAATTTTAATTTTATTTAATAAGTAGGTGGGAAAGGAATGAAGTACGATTGGGGGCTTGCAATCCTAAAGCAGATGTAGAAATGAGGCAAATCTGTCTATTTGCTTCTGCATTTTTAGGATTACCCTCCTTGATCATCCTTAATATTTCAGGGAAAGAAGCAATAATTATGATTATCTTATAAACAATTAAAAATAATATTGATAACAAAACAACGCCTTCGTAATCTGTGCATGAACTACCATGTACCTCATATAAATCTCACACCTCCAATATCTTGCATTGGCTTTGACTGAAATTATTGCAGAACTCACAAATTGTATGATAGTATTTACTATAAATCCTATTATGAAAGGTTCAATTTGCAGCAATCAAATGCTCGCTACTAAGCGACTGTAAGTATTTGAATTTTACCCTACTTCACTGTTCAATGTACAGAAATTGCATCTGTGTGTTTGATGTGTCCTGCTGAGCACCATCAGCAGCTTGCATCTCTGCCACTATTGTTTTTAAAATGGCAGGAAGGACGTGTCTAGTCAAGAGCACTCAGCAGGATGGATTTCACATGGCAGAAGACAAGCCAGAATTGTCTTCGAGAAAAAAAAAAAAACAAAACAATCGTATAGTCATCTAATTCAAGCAGTCTTCATACGCTGACAGAATTATCAAAATTACTCATCAGTGAATCTGCATTTAAACTATGCATGCTGGAGAGGTCTGAAGCTATCACCACTGAGCAGTCCAGGAGATCTGCCGCTAATACAGAGCAGCCCGGGCAGCCTTCATGGTGGCCGAGATCCAAGCACATCGATGGTTCCAGTCGCTCCTGAGCGTCTTGCTGAACTAGATGGACTGAAGGTTATCTTCAGAAGTTAAGGCTTAACCTGAAGGGGAGGCCACACTGAAACTTTATTTTTCTCACTCTTGACTTTTCTGATTCAGATTTGTGAGTTATCACTAAATTGTGTAAACATCAGAGCCTGGGCTCCTCTATGTTCCTTTTGGTTAGTAAATACTACTTACCTGTGGCTTGACCATTAAGATTGTTGTCATTGTGGGATGGATAGGCAAAGGGATCACTCCATTTTATAGATGGAATAAAATTGAGTGAAGAGGGACACAGAGCTTTGTCCACGTCAGGGAGTAGCAAAACCCAGATACAATTTGTAAGTTCTAGTTTTTGTTTTGTTTTGGATCTTGGGTAGATGATCCAAAGGTAATGATCTGTGATGTCTCAGAGACATCACAAAGTTATCAGCACCAAGCTTATCAAAAGAACCAAAACATGAAATAACAATAATAAAAAACAAGCAATCATTCTATTGGTTAACAGTCAAAAGCTAATGGTTTATTGTTGGTCCATGGTCAACCCCAACTTCTCGGCCTTGACTTCAGAGTGTTTCAGTTTCCTAGATTCCTAGGCAGTTCTAGTTCTTCTGGGAAGGTTGTTCTGCTAGCTGTTCTCCAGGCATGCCCTCCTATATGTGACCCCAGGTGAGCTAATCTTGTGTTTCTATGAGAAGTCTTGGTTCTCCACACACAGAAACCTCATCTGCCTTTCAAGATTAAACTCGTATTTCCTTCTACAATGAAATGCTGGCAGGTGACTTTAAACAGGATGATAACACCTCCATTAAACTGTGGATTTTCTGAGTTTTTGCTATTTAAAATGGAATCTACTCCTTAAATGTGAGCGGACTATATAACTTCCTTAGACCGCAGACTATGCCAGAGGTGACTTTGTGCCACTTTTGAGTCTAAACTTAAAGAGGCCTCATATTCTTCATTTCTGCCCAGTTCAACTCTTTTGGAACACTGCTGCCAGGTGTCATGTGAAAAAGTCATGTGGACTGGGTAAAGCTAAGATGCTACATGGATCAGTCATTCTCCAGCTCACCTGAGGATGGAACTCTGAAGTCTGAATGAGCCAAGCTGAGATAGGAGAGCCCACTTAGTTCAGATTGCTTACTCATGCAGTCTTGAGCTAAATAAATGACTATAGTTTCAATTCATTAGTGTTTTTTTTTTTTGGGGGGGGGAGCGGATTGTTCCTTAGTAAAATTAGCTGTAAAAGAAATTACTATTATTATAATTTTACTGATGGACAATTGCAGTACAGAGAAATCAGATAAAAGTTTCAGAACGACATAGCTTTTTAAAAGGATAGTTAAGACTTAGACTAAGAGCCTAACTCCAGAAAGTAGCCATTCTACCACACTGGCAACTGTTTCCCATTATCATTCATTCATTTATTCATTCATCCAAGTATGTATTAAGTATCTATTATATCCCAAACAGCATGGTAAATATTAAGGGTCCAATAACAAATCAAATTGTATCCTTGTCCTCAAGGGGCTAACATTCTAGTGGAGGAGTCAGGCAGGTAAATTAGACACAGCAAGTGAATGATTACAATTGATAATTGCTCTAATAAGTGGATATATAAGGAAGTATTGGAACAGAGAACACAGATCCCTAACTTCCTCATCATACTTACTATCTGTAGCGCTCTTTGGACATTTATTCTTTACTGCTTTGCTAGTTGCTTATTTAAGGAAATATATTTTGTTATTACAATTTGATTGTAAACTTCTACAGGGGAAAACATTACACTTGGTAAAAAACTCCCACAGCTCTGCACCTTGTTGGTAGTTGTTATTCCTCAAGTTTGTCAATGAACAATTGAAGGTCAACTTTTAAATTGATCAGCAGGAAGAATGGGGAACACATTTCAGAATCAGAGCCTGCTTTGGGCGTTTGACCAACATGATGCCACGTATTCTCAGATTATGTTGACTTTACAATTAAAAAAACATTGATTATTTCGTGGGATTTTTGCTGGTAGCACATAAAGAAGAGCTTGACAGAATCTTCGTGAGTACTTCTCAAATGCTTCACTTATGGCAACCACCATCCAGAAAAACTGAAAATTTGGAGAGCATTTCCTTTTATGGAACCAGTGGTGAAACTACTAAAGATACCACAGTGCTATGATCCTGAGCATCGATTCTGCAAATGGACATCCAAGATCTGAATCCTGGTTCTGTCACTTCTCAT